GCCGACACCCACTGGGAGAGTTCTTTTGGAAAAAGAACTTAACCAACACCGAGAGGTCCAGCACGCCAGGCACCCCTGCGGTGAATCGACAGGGGGCGGCGGACCGAAGACGCCTACGGCGAATCACCGCCGCCCCCCGCCTTTGTGGAAGCGCCTATTTGGCCGAACGTTGAGGCCAGACCTGCCAAGCTATCGGACCATGTGTTCCCCGAATCGGTTTGGAAAGCCTTCGGGGAACACGTGGGCATCTTGAAGGTCTTCTTGGAGGACGTCTTGGCCCTTTCGTCGGGCCTTCTTGGAGGACGGCTTGGAGGTGTCTTGGGCCCTCTTGGGGCCGTCTTGGAGGCCACTTGGGCCGTCATGGGGCCCTCTTGGGGGCCTCTTGGGCGATCTTTGGGGCCTCTTGGGCCGTCTTGGGCCGTCTTGGAGGCTTCTTGGGCGAACTTGGAGGTATCTCGGACCCTCTTGGGCCGTCTCGGAGGCCGTCTTGGACCATCTTGGGTGGACTTGGAGGCCATCTTGGGCCAATGTGACCATCCTGGAGGCCATGTTGGGCCGTTTTGGAGGAAGAATTGGGATTGGGCGATGGCGTGTGCGTCTTGCGGGTCTTGGGGGGCGGCCGGCGGGACGGGCCGAAACCCATTGGGAAAGTTCTTGTGGAAAAAAACCAAAACCAAAACCGAGAGGTCCAGCACGCCAGGCACCCCTGCGATGAATCGACAGGGGGCGGCGGATCGAAGACGCCTACGGCGAATCACCGCCGCCCCCTGCCTTTGTGGAAGCGCCTATTTGGCCGAACGTTGAGGCCAGACCTGCCAAGCTATCGGACCATGTGTTCCCCGAATCGTTTTGGAAAGCCTTCGGTCAGAGGAGCATGAAGTATTGATATTGATAGTTTTCCAGATTTTCAGATTTTCCTGTTCTCCCGCGCGGGCTCCAGGGACGAATGGTCGAGCGCATTCCGTCGCGCATGTTCTTTGCGTGATGTTCGTGGTGCATTTTTCGCGCATCGGAGCGCCCTCGAAGATTCCAAGCTGCATGCTGTGTTGCTCTTGGGGAGTCCGCGAGTCGCAGCTGCCGTGGCGCTGTTTTCGAGGTAGCCCCTTCGAGTGCTGCTCGCGGGCGCAACGCGCGGCGCGCGCTGCGCCCAATCGCGCGCGGCGCGGCGCGTGAATCAGCCGGCCGCGCCCGTCGGACCGCCCAGACATTATTTCTGGATTGTAGAATGTGTCAGAAAACGCATCTTTTTTTTTGGTTGCGCAAGCGGTTCTGGAATTTTTCTAAAAGGAGCCCAGAAATTTGCAAACAATAGTTTTGAGGGGTGGAATGCGCCCGCCGCGCAGGACATCTGAATATTTCTGAAATCCGGATTTTTTCAAAATGGATTCCGGAATTTGTCAAAATCGGCCCCGGAAATTTTCAAACACGATTCTGGTAATTGTCCAAAAGTACGCCGGACACGTTCAAAAACGCTTCCGGATTTGATCATTTTTTACCACCGTATTTGTCCAGAGTCGCGCGTGATTTGCCTTGCTGGGCACCGCCGACCCCTGCCTTTGTGGAAGCGCCTATGTGGCCGAACGTTGAGGCCAGACCTGCCAAGCTATCGGACCATGTGTTCCCCGAATCGTTTTGGAAAGCCTTCGGTCAGAGGAGCATGAAGTATTGATATTGATAGTTTTCCAGATTTTCAGATTTTCCTGTTCTCCCGCGCGGGCTCCAGGGACGAATGGTTGAGCGCATTCCGTCGCGCATGTTCTTTGCGTGATGTTCGTGGTGCATTTTTCGCGCATCGGAGCGCCCTCGAAGATTCCAAGCTGCATGCTGTGTTGCTCTTGGGGAGTCCGCGAGTCGCAGCTGCCGTGGCGCTGTTTTCGAGGTAGCCCCTTCGAGTGCTGCTCGCGGGCGCAACGCGCGGCGCGCGCTGCGCCCAATCGCGCGCGGCGCGGCGCGTGAATCAGCCGGCCGCGCCCGTCGGACCGCCCAGACATTATTTCTGGATTGTAGAATGTGTCAGAAAACGCATTTTTTTTTTTGGTTGCGCAAGCGGTTCTGGAATTTTTCTAAAAGGAGCCCAGAAATTTGCAAACAATAGTTTTGAGGGGTGGAATGCGCCCGCCGCGCAGGACATCTGAGTATTTCTGAAATCCGGATTTTTTCAAAATGGATTCCGGAATTTGTCAAAATCGGCCCCGGAAATTTTCAAACACGATTCTGGTAATTGTCCAAAAGTACGCCGGACACGTTCAAAAACGCTTCCGGATTTGATCATTTTTTACCACCGTATTTGTCCAGAGTCGCGCGTGATTTGCCTTGCTGGGCCTTTGAAATCCGCCGAGGCGTGCGGTGCGCGGCGGCGGGCGATAGGGCGGCGCGCCACCGTCCCCCCCGCGCTCGGCAACGAGAAGGGGGGTCAGCAAGTGCCAAATAGCCCCTTGCGGGCGACCGCTCGATTGCGAATGGGTGACCGACCAGCGGCGCCAGCCTGAGTATACAATATTCGACGCAAAGTGTACACCGCGCGAAGTCTGTTGGAAATCCCGGAATCTCCGGAACGTATCAATAGCACGTTGTGTCAATAGATTCTTCTCGTTCTATTCGGGGAACGCGTGGGCATTTTGAAGGTTTTCCTGGAGGACGTCTTGGCCCTTGTTCGTGCCTTCTTGGAGGACGTCTTGGAGGTCTCTTGGGCCCTCTTGGGGCCGTCTTGGAGGCAACTTGGGCCGTCATGGGGCCCTCTTGGGGGCCTCTTGGGCGATCTTGGGTGCCTCTCGGGCCGTCTTGGGGTCGTCTTGGGCCGTCTGGGGGCGTTCCTGGAGGCCTCTTGGGCCGTCTTGGGGCGCTCTTGGAGGCCCCCTGGGCTGTCTTGGAACGCCGGGAAGCCGAAAAGACCAATAACCAACATCCTTCCAAAACCATTGTAAAGTGGACGGTTGTGGCCTCTTCGGGCTTTCTTGGACGACCTCTTGGAGACCTCTTTGGGCCATCTGTGAGGCTTCTTGGGCGAATTTGGAGGTATCTTGGATCCTCTTGGGCCGTCTCGGAGGCCGTCTTGGACCATCTTGGGTGGACTTGGAGGCCATCTTGGACCATCTTGGAGTCCATCTTGGGCCAACGTGACCATCCTGGAGGCCATGTTGGGCCGTCTTGGAGGAACAATTGAGATTGAGCGATGGCGTGTGCGTCTTGCGGGTCTTGGGGGGCGGCCGGCGGGACGGGCCGAAACCCACTGGGAGAGTTCTTTCGGAAAAAGAACCAAAACCAAAACCGAAAAGATCCAGCACGCCAGGCACCCCTGCGATGAATCCACAGGGGGCGGCGGATCTAATGGCCTCCGGCCCATCCCGCCACCGTGCTTGGGTTGTGGGCATGCAGCCTATTGGATGTTCGTTGGGATCTCGTGGGGGGCCTCTCGGGGGCCTCTTGGAGGCAGTTCGGGCGCCTGCCAGGGGCCGTTTTGGGGCCTCCTTGGTGTCTCTTTTGGGCCTCCTGGGGGCCTCCTGGGGGCCTCTTGGGGGCCTGTTGGGAGCCTCCTGGGGCCTCTTTAGGGGCCTCCTGGGGGGCCTCGTGGGGGGCCTCCTGGGGGCCTCCTGGGAGCCTTCTGGGGGCCTCCTGGGCGCACGGGGTCCCCCAGTTCTGGCCAGTCGGGGCGGGGGAGGGGGGCGCAGAGGGAGCGGCGGCGCGTTCGCATGACGGGCGGGGGTATTTTTCCGGACAACTTCGACAACATCTACCAGATCAGTCTACTTGAGCGCCCAGAATCATCATCATCATCATCATCATCATCATCATCATCATCATCATCATCATCATCATCATCATCATCATCATCATCATCATCATCATCATCATCATCATCATCATCATCATTATCATCATCATCATCATCGTCGTCGTCATCGTCATCGTCATCGTCATCGTCATCATCATCATCATCAGCATCAGCATCAGCATCAGCATCAGCATCAGCCGCATCAGCATCAGCATCAGCATCAGCATCAGCATCAGCATCATCAACTTCAGCATCATCATCATCATCATCATCATCATCATCATCATCATCATCGTCGCCAGGAAAATCGTTGATTATCCCCGCCAGACCCCCGAACTTTATTATCCCCAGGCGATTACTATCGGGAGCTCAAGGGTATTTTTTCCGACCAACTTCGATCTCATGTTTGTTCGCCTCTCCTGATCTCAGGTCGAACGGAGCCTTGTGATAGGGGGAGAATCTGAGAAGGCGGGTGCTCGCTCGGAGGCAATATTTTGTGCGTGCGTTTGGTTCATGGGCTTCATCTCGGCCTTCAGAAGATGGCAGGGGGGGTCTTATCGGGAGGGCTCGGCGGCTTTCGAGGAGGCTTCTCGTTAGCCGTTAGGTTTTTCTGCATCGGGGATCGACTACAGAATGGAATTACCTCGTAATTGTTTTTTTCGTCGAATCTGCTGAAAAAGCCGTACATCGTTCGTACGTCTACGAGCATGATATTTCGTTGTTCCGTAGAGTCGACGGAAATTTCAATGTTGGGGTGAATCGATTCTGTAGCCGATCCCTTACTCGAAGGATGCAGCTCCTGGGAGGTTGAATTCAGCATTTGGGCAGATCTGGCCGTGCTCGGGAAGTCGGCCCAGTCAGGTCTCATCCCGCTGAGTCCTGCTTGATCCCGTAACGTCCGGCCTGGTCGCTCTGGCTCAATCCTGGGTTTGTTGCTCCTGCTCAGTGGCCCCACAAATCGATCACGCCTTCTTCTTGCGAAGGCTTCCCAGCAGTTCCCTCCGTTCCCAGAGAAGGCGGGAGGGTTTCTGAGACGCCCTCGTGCCTTCTTGGCGGGCCCTCCCGCCCCGCCCCCACCCCGCTTCGCGCGCCGCCACAGGCGCTCGGCGATGCACGTTCATCGCTTCCCGCCGGGTGGCAATTCAAGGCCACTTCGGGGCCATCTGCGTGCACTCTCCGCTCTCCTTCCTGGTCGGTCGCCCCCCCCCCCCCGCCGCCCGCCCGACAGGCGTGCTACCACATGGGCGTCGTCTTCGACAACCAGGACGCCTCCCCCTTGCTGTCGCTTGCCTCCGCCTGGCTCCTCCTTTTGCAGGTCACTCCCCCCGCTCGAGCAGGAGGTCTGGGACCCAGACCCGCCACGCGCGCCTCCACTGCCCCTGCAAGCGCAAGGGCTGGCTTGGCCACGGGGTGAACCCAGGAGATGCTTCTGTTGAAGTGCGGTCAACGCGCGTCGTAAGGTTGGGCAACCTTCCCAAGGGTACCCTTGCATCCTTGCCTCCTCGGTGCATCCTTGGCCACTTTCGTTGGCCGCGCCCCGCTCGAAAAGCTTCGAAATGGGCTTCCAAGGCCCTTGCATCCGTATCGGGCGCCCTTATGATGCGAGCCGACCGTGAGGTCCAGGCGCCGGGCAGTGGCCACATCGAGGGATGGCGTCATCGAGTTTTACCGCAGCGACGCGCGCAGCCTGACGTCGACGATGAGGCCGTGCCGACGACGTCCGAGGCCATGATCGCTGTGAGCTGGGGTCGGAGTACGAAGCATGTCTACAGGAGTGCAAGCTCGGCCATACTCGCCTTTGACTTGGCAGTCTTCGAATTCTGAGGTAAATTGCGTGCAGAGTGCGCGTGCCAGTCCCCAGGTCGCCTTTCACCCGCGCCCGACATCAGTTCACTGCTGCACCCTGCATTGCTACGCAGCAGACAGGCAAGGGCTGGGATGAGCCTTTGTAGACGACGATGTTCGTAAGGAGACTTGCGACGTGCTCGATGCGAGCGGGGTTCCCCACACGGCGTTCTGCCGTGCGAGTCGTTTCATGCCGGGGAGCGGTTTCTTCCAGGTTTTCGATTTCGTGCCTGCAGACTTTGGCGTGCCTGCGAGTACATCGACGGAAGAATTATCGTGCCTGTGGTTGGCGTCGCCCGACTCCACGGCCTTTTGTTTGTGAGCTGTTTCGCGTTCGTGGGCGCTTTCGCTCCCAAGGGTGCGTTCGACCTGGCGGCTTCGCCACCCTCAACAACGACGGTGGGAACGACGTCCCCCGCTGCATCCACGCGATGCTTGGGAGCCGCCGCGAGCCCTTGCAGGGCTGTGTGGGTGGCCGCATCGCCGATGGTAAGCAGCATGCAAATCTTCGGCCCCCTCTATCCTCGAATAGCAATAAACTATGTAAACATACTTTTTCTGAGGTCTGCGCGAATTTCTGGGATCGGCGCTAGGCCCCCCTGGCGGCGCCTCCGGCGCCGCCCCTGGCGCGCTCCGCGCGCCAGGAAGGGGCCAGTGCCGATCCAAGAACTCCGCAAGGACCTCCGAGAAATTATGTTTATGTAGTTTTTCTGTTCCTCTATGTTCTCCGGGTTTTCCCCTTCCTTTATAATTGTCCTCGTCCTCCTTTGCCACGGTCTTTGTGTATCGTGCTGCATGTTGTGTTTGCGACCCAGTGCGCTGCCAGAGCAGGCGGGACTCGGTCCTCTTGCCTCCAAGGGCTGTCGCTTCGCATCTTCTTTGTCTCGTCCAGGTTCCCACTGCCTCCCTCTGCAGGGGAAGTTCGAGGATGCAGTGAAGAATTACCGGCAGATGCTGTCCCTGGCCGTCTCCGCCCAGAACCATCAGGTGGAGGCGCTGGCGTGCAACTGCCTCGGTATCGACCTGTTCCCGGCCGAACAGCAAATCAAACGGAGAGGGGGATTAGTTAGTTTAGCGTGTCGCGCCACCGGTCCTGGTCCATCATGTTTTGGCGCGACACGCTGACCACGTCCTAGTCCCAAACCGTCAACGCCTCGAGCGTTTCCCAGCCTCACGCTCCACGAAACGGAGCGACACGCAATCCGCTTGCAAGGCATAGCGTGTCGCTGGGGTCGCCGCAGCGACACGCTGAGCGATAGCTCCTGACCGCGAAGAGCGGGCGCAAGTTCAAAGTCCGAAGTTCCAGATGACCTGGGGAGGCGGTGGGTACCATGGCTGGGGCCACGATGTCTCCCAGGTCGCACGGCCCCGAGTTGTTTAGGGGCACAAAAAAGTGACATAAACATAAAACTCTGAGGTCCGCGCTGATTTCTCGTATCGGCGTTGGACCCCCCTCCCTGGTGCGCGGAGCGCGCCAGGGGCGGCGCCGGAGGTGCCGCTGGAGGTTCCAGCGCCGATCCGAGAAATCTGCGCGGACCTCCGTGTTTTTATGTGTATGCCAATTTGATGTTCCCCTCTTGTTTCAAGGCATCCCCTGGCCCCTCCCCCTCGTCCGCGCACATGCCTCGGGCCATGGATGCGCACTCCTTCCTAATGGCGAATCGAAGATGCTCCGCTACGGCCACTTCCCGGGTCTCGCGAGGGGAGCGTGTTGACGAGGATGTCGAGGCGAACCCAGCCGTGCTGACGAGGGAGGGGCAGCGGTGTCCGCATCTCTTCCTCTGGCCTCATCCTGAGCTCGGTCAGGGACGCAGGAGGACGACAATTACATCGGGCACTGGACCGTCGACGCAATGTATCCTCATTGATTGATTTGGGTGATCTGGCTCGAGACCCGTTGTCCGTCATCGGAGGGGCTACAGCCCCACCGCCAACGCCTTCAAGGCGCGCGGCCTCGCGCGTGCGTGCAGCAGTGGATATCGGCGCTCGCCACGTTTGCCATCTCTTTCCGCCCCCCCTCTTGGGCGCAGCCGGGGGAAGTGGGCCGAACACAGCCTCGAGGAGCGAGTGCCGCGACACTGCTTCTGGGGCCGCTGTGTCGGCCTGGGCGGTACAGGGATGCATAGGGCAGTATCGGCGTTCACCCCTTCCGATTGGGGTTGCGGATCTGCTTCGCCACCTCTTTCCTTTTAGCCCATGATGCGAACGGCTTGCACGCAAGCTGCAGGGCCAGCACCGAAACATGTGAGCGTTGCAAACAACGGGGTCGTCTTCACCAACATTCGCGCGTAAGCTGCCCGCCGAAGGTCGCGCGTGAACGCCCTCGCTTCCGATGTGGCGTGCCTCGCTGGCGGCCCGCGTGAGCTTCGGCGTAAGGCCGCTATGTCCCTCGCGAGACCCGTTGTTTATCCTCGTTCATGTTAATGCTTGCGGTGTTGCAACAAGAAATCAGCTTCGACGATCGAGTGCAAAGAGAGGGGGCGGTGGTGCCGACTTTACAGTCATAAGCTTTAGGCCAGTGCTCAAGCCGGGCACGCAGAGCTACAGACAAGAATACACACAGTCCGGCGCACAGCGTTGGGTGCTTGATTGCGAAGGCGACGATACTAAAGCACCATCATCACATGTGTTACGACTTTAGTTTTTATGAGAATGATGATGATGATGATGATGATGATGATGAGGATGAGGAGGAGGAGGAGGAGGAGGAGGAGGAGGAGGAGGAGGGGGAGGAGAGTGAGGAGGTGGGGGAGGAGGTGGGGGAGGAGGAGGAGGAGGAGGAGGAGGAGGAGGAGGAGGCGGAGGAGGAGGTGGAGGGGGAGGAGGGAGGAGGGAGGAGGAGGAGGAGAGGAGGAGGAGGAGGAGGGGGGAGAAGGAGGAGGAGGAGGAGGAGGTCCGTAGCCATTTTGGCTCAAGGCTAAACGTTGCGAAGGGCTATGAACGCCCGAGGTGCAGCGATTAGCTTTGGACCCTTCCGTAGCGATCGGCTCAGATTGCTTGGGGCGCGCGCGGCCCACGGCACTCTGTCACTTAGGCCGAGAGACCTCATCCCTCACACCTTCACGTACTTCTTCTCGCCGGATGGCCCCACGCGCAGATGGTGCTGGATGGAAGAAGAAAGCATGGCAGCAAACGAGATGGAAGTGCACACGGTGCAACTGTGCAACTGTGCAAAGAATGAGGATTGGTGGACTTGGTGCAAGCATTGCGGTGCACTCCGCACAGAGGTCGAGGCGGCGGCAAGAACCCCTCCGTCGGGGGTCTGGAGCCTTGCGCTTCCACCTGCTCGCGATGCTGCTCTCGGCCCTGGTGGGGGTCCTGCTCCGCCTCGCGCGGTGGGACTGCAGCTGGGACAAGCAGCTGGTGGTGGTGACTGGCGTGCAGGCGGCGGTGCAGTCCGACACTGCTACACCATCGAGCAGTTGCCCAGCCTTCGTGATGCTCAGAAGTCCATGGCGGCCATCGGAGATGTTGCGGCCTCTCGCAGGTACGAGGCCATCATTCAGCAGCTTGGGGAGGCCGCCAAGCCCCAGTCCCCAACGGTCGGCATGGCGCAGTACGCTATGGAGCAGGCCCGCCAGCAGATGGAGGCCGCAGTCAAGCCTGCTGAGTCCTTGGAGGTGCAGGCCAAGGAAGCGCGAGCTCGCGCTGCTGATGCCTTCGCCACCTTCGACCGTTGTGAGAAAACGTATAAGGAAGCGGTGGCCAAGCTCGCCTCGGAGGTGGTGGAGCCCAAGGGGACCATCGTTGTCAACGACGTGCAGCGCATCAGTCTGCAGGCTCTTTTGGATGGGGAGCAGATCGACCTCGATGATACGGCCTTCTTGGATTGGACCTTCAAGGCATCGAGATCAGTGAGACCGAGAGGGAGGAGCTCAACACTCGTAAGGCGTCGCTGCTGGCCCTGGTGCAGGAGGCGACCAAGCAGGCGTTTGGGTCCTTGCAGGCTCAGTGCGCCAAGATGGTTGAGGAGCAGCGCAGCTTCAACCAGCGAATGCAGGCCAAGAGGAGGAGATGCGATGGAGATGCTGGAGCCGACGGAGGTGGTGCGCGCCCAGGCCAGGCGCCACCTGGGGCGCCTGCGAGCCCTGCAGCGCCAGCTGCGGAGGCCGCGGCGGCGGGGGCTGAGCCTGCGGCACCCGGCCCTCCCCAGCCAGCTCCATCTATCGACGAGCTCTTCGAGAAGGCCCAGTCTTGCGTCAGCAGCGGCAACGGCAGCGGCAAGGGCGGCAACGGAAACGGCAAGGGCACGGAGGCGTCTGGAGGCCGCAAGCCAGGCCTTTAACATCGGTGACCTGTACCTGCGCACGGTGAACACCACGAGCTGGAAGCCGTGCTTGGCCTACGTCGAGGCTCAGGCGCAGGTTCGCAGAAATGAAGCAGTTTTTCGAAAAAACAGTCAGTAGTGGCAAAGCAAGTTTTTCTCCAAGAGGGCCCCAGGTGTTTCTTTTGCAAGAGGTAGGCGCATCGCAGGATCGGAAGACCGACTGCGAGAAGATGTCGCGTGATCAGGGTTTGCTGGCAGCGGTACGTCCTTGTCGTACTACGGAAGCTGGAGGCCTATCTGCAGGAGTTGCGATCGGGGTTCCAGCATGCATCGGGATGGGGAACCCACCAGGACGGACTCAACCTCTTCATTTTCCTCATCGGGTCTTGGTGAAATGGGTAAATGCTGTAATTCCTGGAGGCTTCCTGGCAGTATCAGAATATATGCCTACCACAGACCCCTTTGGGGCAGAGGGAACCCAATTGTTGAGTCGGTTGGGGGAGTTTCTGCATGCGGCTTCACTTCCTGTTCTGATCGGGGGAGACTGGAATGCACCTCCTGCGCTCTTGGGTCGTCTTGGATGGGCGAGTGAACTTCGAGGCCGTATCATTGCTCCCGCTTCTCCTACTTGCACGGCAGGTAAGAGGGAAGTGCGCGCGTTAGATTACTTCGTAGTGTCTGATGCTCTGGCTCCGTCGGTGGCCCCGTGCACGGTGGCGCTGAATGCAGCTATCGAGCCCCGTCGGCCAGTGCTCTTGCGGCTGCGAGGTAAGCTGGTCCCACAGTACATCGCGGTTCTGCAGGTACCTCGTAAGTTCCCACGTGAGCGCCCACAAGGCCCCCAGCCTGCACCACCAGCTGAATGGGAAGGAGTTATTCACGGTTCGGAGGATGGAGGAGACCAGCAGCAGATGAACACGGTCTTCAGGAGCTTTATGGGGTTGTTAGAAAAGGAACTTCTAGCAGCACATGGTATTCCTGAGTCTGAGCGGAAGAGATATACTGGACGAGGGCGGGGTTGGAAACTAAAAACCACCCCTGCCCTTCCCCCCTCCTCTGGACCCTACCCTGTGGCGCGCCCCGTCAGCAAGGCCTGGGGGACGTGGGGGAACTGGGCCCAGGAGCTCTCCAGGATCCGAGCCCCGGATGATGTCAAGGACACTGTAGGAGCTGCAGCGCTGTTCGCCAAGATACTACCTGGTACTCCAGAGATCCGTGGCACGGAAGAATGGAAGTGTATGTGGTATCTGGATGCAGGATATCTAGCTTGGTGCGATTCAGAAGCTTTAGATGACTTTGCATGAGCGTGCTGGAGGCTACGCCGAGGAGCTCGAGGCGCAGTTTGCCAGCTCCCGCGCTAAGCAGTGGTGAGGCTTTGTTCAGGAGGCAGTGCAGGCAGGAGCAGGTCGAGCCCACCAGTGCACTAAGCCCCCAGTGGGCTGGCGCCCTGTGGTACCCCGACAAGGACAAGCACCTCCTGGGCCCTCAGACCTCATTGAGCAGAACCTCCAGGACTGGGAACGCATATGGGACTCCAGTGGCTCCAACAGGCCCCTTGAAGATCCAGAAGGTGTGTCCCAGAAGCTGAAAGACATGTTGAAGGACCTCCCCAGCCCCATCATGAGCTTCAGCCCTGACGAGATCAGATCGGCCGCTAGCAATATTAAAGCGTGGGCGGCTCACGGTGTGGACAGGCCCAGACTTCGTGATTTTCTTCTTCTTTCAGATCCGTGTTTGAAAGCTTTGAATGCGTTGTGG